GGGGGGGGTTGGGTTGGTTTTGAATTGTTTGTTTTTCCTGTCTCTTTTGTTGTATTTGTATTTTATACATTTTTATATTTTGGGGTTTTTTGTGCATTATTTGTATTTGTATTTTGTTTCTGTTTTGTTTTTTGTGTGTTTGTCTTGTGTTGTTATTTCTTTGTTATTTGTTGCTATTGTTTTGTTTTATTCCTATTGTAGGCAGAGGATTGCGTACTCATTCTTATCAAATGGTGCTATTTGTAGAAGAACAACGTAAACTCTTTCTATTTGTTTCGTTTTAGGAATTTTATTTGGAAGATTGGTTGGTTATTCAGTTTATTGTTTAATACCTCCTTCAGATAACAGGGCAACACAAAGAATACAAGCAAATACTCCACGAAAGACTTAGCACGGTTTTAAGATCTTCAATGGAGCGGGGAAAAATAATGAAAAGAACCACTGCATTCATATTTTTCATTTCAGTCTTTTTCCAAATAAATTTACACATAGTTCAAGCGGTGTCAGAATCACTAATGAAATGAATACAGTTTTGTCTTTGGGTGCCTTCTTTTGTTCTTCTTATACCTCATTTATTTAGGTATAGTAAACATAAGCCTATCAGACTAGGGGGCAGAGCAATTCATTTATGAAGGATTAATAAGATGACCGATTAGTAAGATAACCTGATTTTAGTTTAGTCAGTCTTTTAAATGGCATTCGCCAAACCTTTTAAATGATCTTTTTACACTGTTGAAAAGTTTAACAAGTAGAAGTATTTAGAAAAGAAAAACCCTTTTAACAACGTCATTATTAAATACCAAACCATTTTTATGTTTTGCATTTTGATTTTAATGATGCATAGCAATTATTACCATGTTTACTCATTTTTACACAACTTACAAATATCTGCACCAAAACTGGACGCGGGACAGAAAATAAACAAACCCAAAAACATTTTCAACGGTAAAGACAGCATAATAGATGGTTACAAACCTTTAGCGTAAACGGTAAAATATGTGAAAATAAATTCCTTTTCAGTGGGTGGTTGGCGGTTGCTCTGGTGTGGTTTGCTTCTTCTTTCCTATCAAAAATCTATCGTCCTTTTATCCCCTTCTTCTTTTTTTTGTTTGTTACTTTCTTGTAACACCTCTAATCTTCTGGCGTTCATATGACCTTATGCAGTTGCGAGCGCCGTAAAACCTCTACTAAAACAAAATTCCGTTTCAAGAGTAGAAGTGCTGTAGTATGTGGGCATGTCTCATTCAAAGGCCATGTGCAATGCACGGAAATAAAACAAAATGAAGACAAATCTCGTCCTTAGAATGAATGGTTCTAACTCGGTCCTTGAACTTCATAGTTTCGAGAAAATGAAATTTTCCCAGATTCACACTCTTATAGCTACAACAGTGTTTTTGCACATTTTGTTAAGTGTCACCACGGCAGCCTAAAAAGTCGATTTTGGTATCCAAAACCGATTTTTCGATTTTGGACTATTTTAGTAGAGCAACATCTGCTTTATCGATTGAAAATATTTTCAAGTGTCCAAAACATCTATAAAGTGCTCACATATGCCATGTATTTTAACATTGTGTGGTAATAGAATGGTATGAATTCGTGTTTTTTAAAATTTTCTAAAAACTATGA